TCTGGGTCTGGGTGGCCGGCATCTTCTTCCAAGAAGGTCTGGAAGTGGGACAGGGGCGCATGCACTGGAACCCCAGGGATCCCCGCGCCAGTGCGCTCACCTTGCCCCGCTCGACCCTTCCCCAGGTGTGGCGGCCCTATGTGGCTTGGTCTACTTATTCGAGCGCCTCCGCTACTTTAAGGGGTACTCGCGCTCGGCGCAGGAAAGGTGAGAACTAGGGAAGGGAAAGGAGGTTGGTGGGCGGGCAGAGGATGGCGGGTTGGATGAGGCAACCAGTGGGAGGTGGGGGCAAGTGGGCGGGGCCCTGGCGGAAGTCTCGTTGAGGCTGGTGAGCCGAGGGCGGGGCTGCTGCGTTGCCCCGCTCCGGCTGAGCGCCCCCCGCAGGTTGGCTCCCCTGTACGCGAGCGCGTGCGCGCTCTGGCTGCTGGTGGCGATGGCGGCGCTCGGCCTAGTCGTCCACTTCCTCCCGACCGAGTTGCGCGCCACGCTCTTGGGATGGCTCGGGACACTGCTGCCCAAGGCCTGAGACCGAGGACGCCAGGTCGGCGGGGCTGAAGAGCCAGGGCCGCCTGGAGGACGGCGGAGGGTGCCTCGTTTCCTTTCCCAGACTCTAATAATAAAGTGCCGGTGGCCGGACTCCGAATGCGCTTTCTGGGTCAAATGGGGTCGCGCTCCGCGGGCTATGGAACCTGGAGAGGCTCGGCCCCGGGCCTCAGCCGTCAGGTGGGCTTCTTGGGGGCGGCGGGGGCCGGGCCGAGGAAGGAAACGGCCTTTCCGCCGGGCAGGGGTTCGATCCCGTCCCGGACCCAGTGCTCTCTTGCCCTGCTCCTAGCAACACGGCTGGTCTGCGGGCGGCTCTGCCCCGCCGAGGTTCATCCCACGGCTCCTCTCTGAAGTCAGCGCTCTCCTTGCCTGTCCCCGCTCCTCTGAGGCCTGCCCCTCAGCCACCCTATTCCTCATCCCCGGGCCTTCATAACCGATACCAAGGGCCCTTTCTTATCAGCACTGGGTCCCTGGAGTCTAGAATTGTGTAGGCGTTCAGGGAACCTTGCCGGGGGGCTGTGGGGCCGTGAGGATGATGAGTGTGGTCAGTGGTTTTATGACAGGCACAAGAAAACGTCCAGGTACTTTGGGCGCCCAGACCCAGGGATGTTCTGCTGGCGGAACAGAACGTCCTTCAAGAGGTGACTTTTAGCCCAGATGGCAGAGAGCTTTCCAAGCAGGGCAATAGTGTGTGCAAAGGCCCTCGAGGTGAGCGCGAGGCCCTAAAATGTGTCAGAGAAGGGCGGGAATGGGGGGCCCTGGGGACCTGGACAAGGGCAAGGCTGAGACTCTCTAAAGAGGGGTAACGAAAAGATGGGGGGAATGCCTTCTGTTTGAGGGGCTCCCGCGCTAGCAGGTGGGGTTATGAGAGGTAGGTGGTGCGATTGGGGAAACCCCCGTAGAGATGGGACAACTTTGGGCACCAGTACTCGGATTCCGTGGTCTTCCCCACCCCCGCACGCTCGCAAGTGGGCAGACCCTTCAAGGTGGCCCAGGCCCACACCAGATGGTCCTGGGAAAATGGGCAGAGCTGCACTTAGGGATAGTTCTGCTGCATGGATTGGCCTGGACGTGGTAGTGGGTGGCCTCAGGGTAGCATCACCTGGCACCCCGCCTCCCTTCACCAGTTGGCTTCCCTCCACCAGCTGGAGCTCAGAGCACCCCATGTGAGGCACAGATTTCATTAACCCTTTATTACAAGTCACGCTCTTATAGAAGTATATGTGGACTTAGGTGAAAAAATCAAATGTATCCAAGAATAAAAAACACAGCACATAAAGTAGTATATGCATTCCAGTGTTCGCGCCGGAGACCGCGGGCGCCCAGGAAAAAGCTCTTCTAAAATGGCCTGGCCCAAGCCTGCTGGCTGCGAACGATTCTGGGCGGCACAGGTCGGCCTCAGGCACAGTGTGGGGACTGCCACCTCCTCCCTCGGCCCTGTGGGCGGGCAGCACCAGCTCCTGGGGCCTCCGGGCCAGCGGCGACCCCACAGGCCGCTGAGCAGTGCCAGGAACAACCCTTCAGGCTGGGTCTGTCACGCCTGGCCCTCCGGGGGCAGCAGCGAAGACATGCCGGGCCTCTTGGGCTTCAGGGCCAGTTCTCAGAAGCCCCGCCTTAGTCAGCCTTCTTCAGGAAGATCTGAAAGAGCCAGCCCAGAGTCAGCAGGGACTACTGAGTTGGCCCATCTAGCTATGGGAAAATGCTCCCGTCCCTGTGCCCAGCCCTGTCCTGCCTTACCTCACTCAGAATGACCCACACGGGCGAGTCTGTCTGGATGGAGAGGCGCAGTGCTTCCAGGGGGCCGAAGGCAGGATCCACCTCGCCCTCTGCCACACCCTTGTAGAAGGAGCCTGCGGGAGGGCGGCACTGAGAGCTTACCCCCAGGTCCTTGCTCAGTCCAGCCTGTCCCCACACCTCTGCCTGCCAACAGCACTCACCTATCTGGAGGTAGCCATCAGGGCTCCGCGGATACCGGAGGGTGGCTACGTGGCCCTCCTGCAGGGCCTCCTTGTCCGACTGGGGGTTCTGGGGGCAAATCAAGGGGCTGAAGCCAGGAGCTATGGGAAGGGCCGGCCAGCCTCAGTGCACACCCACACCCCGCCACACTCACGTCAAAGGGTAGCACCTCCACAGACGTGTTGAAGAGCTTGTCCTCTGGGTGCTCAATGTTCCCACTGCGGAAGAAGAACCTGCGGCCAGGCAGGCCTGTGAGATGCTGCAGGATGGGCACTGCCCCTAGTGAAAAGGCCTGGCCTGGGCCTTGGGTGCTGGATGAGGCTGGGTACCGCCAGGGGCAGCTATTGGGCTGTGCAACCAAGGCCTTGTCATAGGGATGATGGTGATAGGTAATATCACTGAGCTCTTGTGGACACTGTCTGACATAATCTCTACAAGGTAGCTACCCTATGCACCCCACTCTTTAGGTAAGGAAACAGGCGTGGTAAGGTTCAGTCATTTGATAGGGTCATAGAAATTTGTGGTGAGGTCTGGTAGCCACCCGCCCCTCCCCCAATGTGGACCTGTGGGTGCTGACACACCTCTCAAGACGCAGTGGCTGGAAGAAGCGGAAGCGGATGAAGTCCCCTGCAGCAGGCGTAAAGGCCCAGAAGAAATCCTCACGCAGGTAGGCTTTCTCCAGGGTGAAGTGCTGGTACGTCTTGAGGCTCGTGCTCACTTCAGCGGGCGGGTTCACATGCTCCTTCCGCAGTGCCTGCTTCCCAAAGTCCTTGTCCTGCAGCCCCCAAGGGACAGCACTGCTAGAATGGGCCCCGGACTTGTCCTGCCGACCCCCTGCCCCACCCCAGCCCACCCTCTTCCTGGACTCAGCCCACCTTCAGTTTCTGAATCTTGCCCGCCAGCGACGAGTGAGTGCCCACGTGCTGGAAGAGGGACGGCTTGAAGCGGATCCGGAGGTTGGCCTTCTGCCGGTCACAGTGCTTCTGTGGAAGGTGGGCAACACCCTGGGCTCAGCTCCACCCGCCTCCCAGGACAGGGCCTCCCCAGCCAGCAGAACCTCTTCCTTGCAGCCAGGCGCATGCCTGTGGCCACAAAAGAGGCCAGAGGCCGCGTGCCCCGCTGCCGCGCCCACCTCTGCGCAGCCCCACTCACCGCATCCTTCTCAGGGTTGCAGACCTTCACCCACAGAATGTGGTCCAGAAGCCAGTCAATGGGTTTGTCCCGGTAGAACATGAGGATGAACTCCACAATCAGACTCAGGTCCAGCGACTTGAACATTTTCCCTGGGGGAGACGTAGAAAGAAGGGGTGCTGAGTGGGCAGCTCTGCCCTACATTCCTTCCTCTTAATCCCTGTGGGGGGCTACTTGGGAGGGTCCCACAGCAAACCCTGTGGTTACTGCAGGCAGGTGATGGCACCAGGGGGTAGACAGTGATGGTGACTGAGGGCAGGTGAGAACAGGTCAGGTGGGGCTGCAGTGGCCAATCCAGGGAACTGGGCAGGGGAAGGAGGGAGGGGGGAAGACTGAGGGGCTCTGGCAAGTCAGTCACCAATGAACCCCAGCTGGGAGAACTCCAGGATCATCCAATCCTCCGAAGGCTGCTGCAGCGCAAAGTTCTTCATGGTGCTCAGGTAGCTGGGCTTGGCCACTATGTCGTCCTCCAGCTGCACAGCAGGGGGTAGGAGGGGGCGGGACTCAGGATGGGGACCCTCCCTCCGGACCTGCTGGGAGCTGGGCGGGGCAGAGCAGGGTTGTGCTGACCTGCACATAGTAGATGCCTTTGGACTGTGCGTACATCATGAGGAAGCAGTAATCGAGGTTCTGTTTGGTCCTCCACCTGCGGGCCAGGGCCTCAGGAGCTCAGAACCATACCCCCCTTCCCGTCCAGTGTGGCTGCCACAGACGTACTGGGTGGGTAGAACCCTCCCTCCATGCAGGGGTCCTCCACTGGAATGTGGGGGCACTGCAGCCAACAGAATGGGCTCTCAGCACAGGTGTGAAGGTTGCTGGGGGTGTGGGAAGAGTGCTAGTACCTGACTCTCTCCTTGGGGTCCCCAAAGGACTCTCGGAGGCGGGAAAAGTCAGGGTAGAAGTGAGGGGAAGGGGAGATGACCTCCAGGAGCCCGGAATGGATCTCTGTGGGGAACCTGGGGGACAGGAAGGCCCAATGGGTATGCAGCCTCTAGGGTCCAGAACACGGCTAGAGCCGAGCTGGCCAGTCTCCGTCCATTTTTTAAGGCCCACCAGGCAGACATCCCCACACTATACCCAGCCTAGTAGGGAAATGGGGCCCCGGAGGGGTTGGGCCACCTCTACACACCCAATGCCTCTGACAGGGGAAGCACTCTCCCCTGGAGAAGGAACTGTCCTGTGGGAAGGCTGGCACCTGCCGGCCCAACAACCACAAAGGAGATGCCCTCCCCAGCTTATCCCATGCCAGTACTCACAAGGCCTTGATGTTCTCCGTCACCACTGAGGTGTACTGTGAGTCAGTCTGTGGGGAGACCAAGTGTCCTCCCTAAGCCCAGCTGTCCCCCCAAATGCCTGGGAGATGGGGCTAAGGGTAGCGGGGAGGGCTTCAGAAAACCCTACACATTGAGGGAGCCCTCCATCCTCAAGGTGGAGTAAGGCTGGGCATGTGGACCACAGATGCCTCAGAAAACACTCTTTGGGGTACCTCGGCGATGGGGTGAGGCACAGTAGGTAACTGGTATCTCCACAAGGGGCTGCGAAATGTTTCTTTCCTTTTAAATTTTTATCTTGATAAATTTGTGAATGACAGTGAACTTCTGATAGCTTTTCCTCTGGAATGTTGCTCTCTCTTCATCTCTCTCTTGTTATTTGTGTCATGTGTCCCTCTCTGACTGTCATGCATCCCCCGACCCTGTGCCCCCAGCTCACTCGCCTCGGCAATCAGCACCACGATGACTGAGTCCTCCTTCTCCTGTGGGCTCAGCTCCGAGATGAGTGAGTGCAGCGTGTCCGTCAGGTACGAGTGGACCTCGCGCCGCACACTGGGGATGCCCATCACCACAGACACTGCGGGGGGCAGAGGATCAATTAGGCACAACAATAGGACCACACCCCAGCCCTTCCTGGCCCTGCGCCTACCTCCGGTGCGGCCCTGGCCCACGCGCACAGCCGGCTGCAGGCTGCTTTCCTTGGCTAGCAGGTGCGGCAGGTGGTGGAAGACAGTGGGCAGATGCAGCACAGGCTTCTGCGAAACGTTCCACGGCTTCAGGCGTGGGTCTTCTGGGTGAGTCAAAAAAGGACGGGTCAGAAAAGATAAGTGACCTGCCACCAGCCCCACCTCTCCTGCCGTGTTGCTGGGACACTCACCAGTCAGGCGGCCCCAGGTACGATTGCCATCTCGGTCTCGCAGTACCTGCCTCTCTGACACAGCTCTCTTGATCTCGTCCAGCACCAGATTGAGCTCCTTGGAGCGCCTGAGGCTCTCCTGCTCAGCAGCGTGCAACCTGTCGCGCAGGGCCAGGAACTCCCGCTGGTACACATCTACCACATCACCTGTGGGTGGTCCACATGCTGTCACCAGGGGGTGGTCTACCCCTTGAGGGTGCCAGAGCACACATCTACATGCCCATCTGTGTGATAGCTATCTACATTTGTTCTCGTGCTTGCCACACGTGCACTCTCTGGGGTTACATAAGGGTCACTGAAGTCACACTGACACACATGGGGGAGAAAAGCCTCCACTGGAGAGGATTAGCCCTGTCCAGTACTCCTCCCTCCCCCCGCAGTTATTTTCTCCTTTGAGAAGGCATCTGAAGTGGGAGGGCTGCAGGACCACTTTTAGCCCCAGGTGGGACAATAAGCAGGGGCTGGAAAGTCTCAGACTGATCTTCTCCATCTAGTGGCTCCCAAAGTCCCCTCTGGCTTTCCTTGCATCATCTGCTCCTTCCAGGGGATGGGACACCTAAGGTCCCAACCATGGAACAAGGACTCAATCCTTCTTCAAGGGGCTTCTTAGTGCCCAGCATTCCCTGCTCCCTACCCCCCTTCATAGAGGCAATCACAGGCAGCCCATCCCCAAGGCAGCTCTGGGGATGGATGACGTCCCTGGACTCTACTTCCCCTCCTCCAAGTAGGACTGAGCCTGAGAACAGGGTCTGTGACAGTATGCCCCTAGTACCCATTCGTCCCTTGTTGCTCTTCCTGCACTAGGCACCACCTTGGAACTCCCTCAGTCTCACATTAGCCCCAGGGGGTTGCTGCTGCAGTTCTGCCCCCAGCACTCAAATGAGCAAATGATGTTGAGAAAGTAGTCTAGGGTCACTCAGTGTGTCAGTGGCAGAGACGGGACCCGCTCTGAAGACTCTGTGGCCTGCTTCTCTGGAAACCAGTGTCAGAATCTCCGGCTGGGCCCCAGCTGTGGGCATCGGATGCAGGGGCCCGCAGCAGCACAGAGGTAGGGCTGCCTATCCCTGGACAGGGACCCCCAGGGGCCTGTACCTGGCTCCAGTGGTCAGGCAGGGACCAGGGAGCAAGAATGAGACAGACAACATCCCTGCCTGTGGCTGGTACTGTGGTTCCTGGCGGGCTGTGCACTCCGGGCCTCTGGTCTTACTTGCCCTCTTCATTTGCTGTCACACACAACCCCTCATCCGTGCCTAATGGCTGTGTCTTCACATATGCTGTGGTCTCTCCTGCCTGGAACCCTTTCCTCTTCCGAACGAACATCCACGTAGCCTTCAAGGCCTGGTTTTAAAGTCTCCAAGTCCAGGAAGCCTTCTAGAACTCCTTTCCCACTCCCAGACAGCTCTTCTGCTCTTGGATCCCCAGTGGGGTCATTGCTCCCAGAATGCCCTGGGACGGTAGCACGCCCCACAGCCATGAGCACCAGGGGTCACAGCCAAGGTAAAGTTAGTTACCTCAGGACACACCCCATTTGTTCTGCAGCATTCCATACCCAGTTTGCCCCACTCTCCCCCACTCTCCCAACACACACCCAGACTGCCCTGGGCTAAAGGTCTAGGCTACTACAAGCTTCCAAGCTTGGGGCAGCCCTGAGGTGGGAGGAGGGAGGAATCAGATTACCGGATGTTCTAGTGTGCTGTGCTGGGTTCCAAGGCCAGGTTACCCTGGAAACCTGACCCCTTAAACAGCAGCTAGCCATCCCCAAAGTTCAAGGAGGGGAGGGGAGCTAGAGGTGCCGAAGCCCAGCAGGAAGGAGTTCAGAGCTACCTGGACACCTGGACATGGCAGGTGGCCTCCCTCCTGAGTCTTTGCTCACCTACCTATTGAAGCCACTGGGTCTTGTCCAAGGCAGCCCCCTGCAATGGGCTTCTGTGAAGTAGGGGGAGGGGAGTGAGACTTCACCGCTCCCCCTGCAACTGCTGTCGCTGTCTCATCCCCTCTTCTCTGATCTTTAAATAGACAGCTCTGTCAACCTTACTTTGCCCAGGTGGACTCCCCGACCACCAAGGCCTGAGCATAGCCTACTCCTTACCCTGCTGTCCTTCCCAGGACCTCCCTTCCCCTGGTCCTGGGCTTCTTCTGTTTACTAAGTGGCATAGGCCCTAGGCATTCCCAGCTCTGGCTCCTGCCCACGCGGCCCTTCTGTCATTTCCCTGAACACTGCAGGCCCTGTCCCTCGGCACCCTGCCCCTGCTCCTGTCCTGCCTGCTGCCTGCAAGGTCCCCAGCTTGCCCCTCATCTCTGGCTTCCTGCTCGTGGGTCCACTCTGTCCTTTCCTGTCAAAGCCAGAACCTCAAGCTCTGTGCCTGCCTCCCCATGAGCTGAGCCTTAGGCCAGAGGTGGTTGGAATGAGTAGTAAGTGGGCTGGGAAGGCAGCCTGGGAAAGGCCTGGGAGACCCTGGCCTCTGGGGGTGGGGGGTGGGCAGGGTAGAAGTCCCTGGGGGCTAGGGCTGAGGGGACCTGGCCTCTTCCATCATACCTTCTTACCCCAGGGAGGTGGGGCTGGGGCCTGGCTCTGGGAACGGCTGGCCCCAGGGAAGGACTGCAGCTATGGCCACAGAACTGGAGGCTCCCCACCCCCACACACTGAAGTCAGAATAATCAGTACACCTGAGGCCCACAGACCACAATCTTCCCCCTGGTCCCCTCTTAGTTGTAATAAAAAGACCTCATGCCTCATACTTAGGGAGAGGGAAACAGGCTCAGAGGGGCACAGGCTGGAGCCAGGCCCAGGGAAGGTTGGCTGCTAAGGGGTGGGCGTCCACCTCCTCCAGGACCTGTACCCTCACTCCCAGTGGTCAAGGGGAGTGGCCATCACTGCTGAAGTACAGGCTGGGACGCTGGGGGGTGCCATGTGGCTGAAGCCAGCTCCCTGGAGGGTCTGTTGTCCTCCCTGGGGACGGGCTTTCAGCAGACACTTGGCTAAGGGCTACAATCTGAGCCCCGGCAGAGCTGTTGCACAATTTCAGTCAAGGCTGGATGTGAAACCCATATCCAGGGCCCATCATGCCAAGACCCACATGTCCTTCCTGGCCCTGGGCTTCCAGGATGCCGCCTGCTCCTGTCGCCTCCTTCCTTTCTGGCTCCCTGCCCACATCCTCCCTTCCCTACAGACCCGGGTTCATCTGCCCTTCCCTTAAGTATCTGTACTGGGCCAATCCTATTCTGAGCTCCCCACTCACTGCAAACTGGAAGCCAGGGTCCAGTCTGGCTTCCCCACACATTCTATACTGTTGTCTACATGTAAGAATGAGAAGGGGTGCCATAAGAGCCCAGATTCAGGCTTGAGTCCTCCAATGACCTTGCCCTCAGAAACACTGACAGCTCATGACAAGAAAGACCCAGGTCATGCTCTCACCCCATGCCTCACAGACTCTTGGGCTTCCGTGCTGCAGGTATGAGGACCCCTGAATCTGAGCCCCACAATTCTTTGGCTGCGGGTGCTCTCCTGCTCCCCAGGCCCTTGAGTACCAGCCTCCTTGATGCCCCCTTTAGAGTGAGCGGAACTTGAATGGAGCCACTGGAATCCCCTCTGCTGCTCTGGACACTGGCTCCCTGTGGCCAACCAGGCCTCCAGAGAAGGTGTTCTGGTGGGGCTTACACTGCAGCTCCTGACATCAGGCTGAGGGCAGGTGGCTGCTGCAAGAGGCACACAGAAACTGTAGTCTGGCCAAGAACAGGGTGCAGGGGCTCAGCACTCACTGACAATTGGACCTATGTGCCCAGCCTGTCAGATACAGCCCTAGCTGGGCCTCCATGCTTACATGGAGTAGCTCCAAGTCTGTTTACATGACCACTTTCTCAAGGGTCCAAAATGCCATTCTCAGGGTGACATACCCCACCTGCAGAGACTGCCCCAGCTATGCCCTCTCCTGGGTGACACACCCCAACTAGAGACCTACGGAGAACTATTCCCCAGCCATGCCCTTCCTGCGCCAAGCCCTAGGGATATCGCGTCAGAGCCCCTGGCTTCCATCAGACAGGAGGACTGCAGTAGGTAGGGCTGGACAGGCAGGAACCAGGTGGGGGGCTGTTGAGGCATGGGGGGGTCAGGAAGGCTCTAGCTCCTGCCCCAGCTGCCTTTTTTAGTGCACAAGAGCGAACAAGGAAGCAGGCGATGGGAGGGAAGCAGAGGGTAAGCTGGCCTCAGTCTGATCCTGTTTAGGCCTTCTGCAGGAAGACCAGGAGGCAGGAAGGAAGCAGTTTTTCCCCAGTGCCTCCTGGACTGCAGGCTGGGTGGATAAGGGCCTCCCCAGCCCCAGACATCCCAGCCAACACCAGGCGATTCCAGCCAGTGCTGGGGACTGTCTCCCTCCATACCTCACCTCCAAATGTGCCGGCCAGACTCAGCGCCATGGTGGTGGACTGGCCAGCTTGCCAAACTTCAAGTGGGAGGTGATGTCTCAGTGAGACCACACTAAGTGAGTTAACGGGTAGCAAGCTTAGGGCGGCCCCCCATGTCTTCCCAGGCCAGCAGCCACAGGAAGGCTGCTCCAGCACCCAGGGCCCTATGGAGAAGTCCTAGGGCCAGATGTCATGGAGGAGGGCTGCCGAGGCCCCAGGGAGCAGCACTGCAGTGAACTGGGGTGGAGGTCATTGCCTGGATGTCTGGCTGCCCCGTCACACTTGTCTCAGGAACACAGTGTCTGCTCCTGCCCAGGTGCCTGGAGCTGGTATCTTGGGAACCACCTGGTACTGCCACCGCTGTGACCTTGTGTCTCTGTCCCTTTCTGAGAACTCCAAGGACCCCAGCTGGCCAGTGGGAGCGACCACCGCTAGCAGGGGCGTAACTGTACTCACGGAGGCGGGTCCCAGCGCCGGATGAGGGACCCGGCGACTGCTCTGCCAGGCGGCCCAACGCGGACCGGAGAATTTCGTTATTTCGGCAGCAAACAAGTGGGGGAGAAAATGGGAGGGGCGTACTCCCGTGCTGACGGGCGGGGAAGGGGCTCCGGCGTCGGCTTCCGGCTGCCTCCCGCGGCTACTACCCGGACCTGCTTGGCTGCGGGCGCCCAGGTGCGCCCCAGTGTGGTTCGGGCCGCGGGGCGCGGGCCCGGCGGGGAGGGCTCACCTTTCTGACCGCCGAGCGCCGCGTACCAGGAGAGCGAGAGGAAGGCGCACAGGCAGAGGAGCAGCAGCGTCAGGAAGGTGCCATTGCGGAGCCTCATTTCCCCAGGAGCGCGGCGGGCGCCGGCGGGGCCG